GACCCATTCTTCCCGTCTTTTCTGGCTCGACTTTAGAGAGGTCCTGTTTATTAACGGTCAAGGTGGTGATAACGGCCATGATGCAGTGAGGGAGACTGGCAGCTCCTGCTCATCTGGTGCTCACTAGGTACCTCCCGCACTTTTGTTTCCTTTTCACACACAAACCTGAGACTCAGAGAGGTTAAACACCTTGGCTGGGTCACACAGCTGGTTGGGTGGTATGTGGTTTCTTGCAGGGAAGAGACGGCAGACCAGCCTTAAACTCCAGGTGGCCAGGCAGAGCCGCACTGCGTGGTCTGCGGCAGCCACGTCCCTGGATCGTGTGACATTTTTGCTTTGATCGTGGTGAGGGCCAGAGGTCGTGTCTTTCCGGGAGTAGAAATGAATGATCCTGAATCTAAACGGGAGTGAAGTGAGGATCACTGGGCAAGGTCGTGTTGTTCAACACATATTGATGCAGTGGCCCTCACGGGTCCGCTTTCTCCTGGTGGAGGACGCGGGAGAGTCTTCTTCACCTTCTGTCTTCCCACCTTGTCTGGGCACCTTGAGCCACTGAGGGGAGGATCCGCCTGGAAAGGGACCCTCCAGCCGCAGCGGTGCTCACGGAGCATGGCTCAGCCCCTTCTTCCAGCTGGTGGACGGGGGATTCTTGATGTGGCCTCTGCTGGCCTGACTTTCCATGGCAGCCACTGGACTCTCCCTCCAGCCCCCTGTTCCCCCGGGTGTTATGGGATGGATGAGACTAAGCGGGTGGGCGCGGTTAACTCCTCCTCTCTCTGGGAGCCCCTGGCCTGAGGGGCCCCTTCTCTGCAGGTTGTGTGCTGAACCCAGGGGGCCTCCTGTTTGGAGACCTGCCTGAACCCCCTCCCCTGAGTGTTGAGGCTGACCTGACTCGGCCTCTGTCTGGCTGGCCCTTGCATCCAGTTACATTGGCTTCCAGACCTGCGGACCGTGACTTAACGAATCCCCGGAGTTCCCGTGGCTCTGCTGGCTGGCGGGGTCACAGGGCATACCTGGGATTCCTCCTCTGAGCTCCATGTGCTGCAGGGAAAACTGGTAGGAAGTTGGTCAAACTTCCAATTTAAAATAAGGGAATTTAGCATAATATTGTTCAGCAAATGAATTATTATTATTTCAGATGCTTGAATATTTAATGAAGCCTGTCCTTAATAACCTCATAGAAATGCAAATCTGTCCTTTCCTAGGAGTCCTTTTAGACAAGGACTTGAACCCTCTCTAGAGACATAATTTCATAGTCTGGAATGAATAAATTAAGCTTTCCAAAGAAGCAAAAAGGATTTTGGAATATCTTAAATTTTGTAGTCCATGTTGTTCTTATGGTATATACAAAGAGCTAATTGTTCCCCCACATTTTAAGTTTACATTTGCATAAACAGAACTCCAGCTAGCCCTGTGGCCAACTCATTCTGCCCTGCATCTCTGTAGGAGACTGGCCCTTGTAAGACTTGGACCACTGCTTGCTCACCCAAGAGGGAAAATCGAGACCATACGGTGTAACCTGTAAAACTGAGCTCATGCAGGTGCATGATGAAGGAGACAGCTTGTCCATTTCTTGCTCATCTTTTTATTGTGCTAAAACATTAACTTTACACAAAACACACCTATTCAATCATTTTTAAATGTACAACTCACTTGTGTTAGTCAGATTTCCATTGCTGTGACAAAATACTTGAGAAAACAACTTAAAGGAGGAAAGAGGTATTTTGGCTCTCAGTCTCAGAGGTTTCAGCCCATGGTCAGCTGGTTCCAATGCTGTGGACCTGTGGTGAGGCAGAGCGTCATGGCAGAGAGGGTGTGGTGGAGCTGTGCTGCCTACCTTGGTGGTTGGGAAGCAGAGAAAGAGGGAGAGGGAGGCTGGGAACCAGATATGGTCCCCAAGGACATTTCCTGAAGGATTCTCTTCCTGCGGTGAGGTCCTGCCTCCTGCATTTCCTCCACCTCCAACAGTCCACTCATTCAGGTGACTGCGTCAGTGGGTCCACCCATGACGAGGGCAGAGCCCTCAGGATTCCATCACCTTCCCAAAGCCCCACCTCTGATCCCTGCTGCCTTGGGGACCCAACCTGGAACACAGGAGCCTTTGGGGACACTCCAGGCTCAGTCCTCAGCAGGCACCAGGTACCCTTGCACATGAGTGTTGTCACCATCCCACTCCAGAACTTTCCGTCTTGCTTATGCATCATACAGTGTCCGCTCTTCCTCCTGCCTGTCCCCGGTGCCCACAGTTCTGCTTTCTGCCTTTATGCATCTGACTTCCCAGGGACTTCAGATGGGAGATCATGCAGCACTTGTCCTTTGGGACTGGCCCATGTCACACAGCCTAGTGTCCTCGAGGTCTGTCTCTGCTGCAGCAGGGTCGGGATTCCCTTCCTGTGTAGGCCGAGTGGACTACATTTTCCTTGTCCAGGTGTCCACCCGTGGACGCTGGGTGTGTGCCTTTCTTTGGGTTATGGTGACTTTAAGGAGCCACGGTGCCTGTGCAGCTTTTTTTCCGGGTCACACTTCTGCTCCTCCTGCAGAGAGTGGGGCGCACAGGGTGCAGCCTGCCTTTTGGGGCTCGGGTGAGGTGAGAGGCACTGATGTCACACCTGTAGCCTTGACAGAAGAGAAGACGGGTGGACGCTGAGGGACTGTAGCCGAGTGGCCATGGTCGGGTCTGCTGGCAGGACACGTATAGAGCTCCAGGTGCCCCCAAGGGGAGGAGGAGCTGGGGGGACGAGCAGAGAAGAGCAGGACAGGCGCTTGCTCCCAGAAGTGAGGGTGCCCAAGGGCCAGTCGGGAGCTGGAGACCAAAGGCAGAGAGCGCGCGGGCACTTCAGTCAGGCAGGTGCCAGGCTCTGCGCAGGGAGGAGGGGCCTGGGAGCTGCGCAGGGAGAGTGAACGGGAGGGCCTGAGCCGGACGGCAACATGCCCGCTCACCCTGGAGGGTGGTAAGTGCAGCATGAAGGACAGGTGTGGTCCTCAGAAGCTGGACACTTCTCAGTGGCTCCTGTGGATTCCTGTGCTTCTGTGGGACGGCTCTGGTCTCTGGGAGGTTGCTGGCTCTCCTCCCCGTCCCTCCGCTCACTGCCCTCTGGTGCTGCTGGTCCCCCAGGTGCGAGGGGAGCTGCTGCGGGAGAGGGTGCAGCGGCTGGAGGCCCAGGAGGGACGCTTCGCGGAGTCGCTGGTTGCTGTGCAGTTCCAGAAGGTGGCCCGGGCCACCGAGACCCTGTCGGCCTTCACTGCCCTGCTCAGCATCCAGGGTCTGCTGCTGGAGGAGCTGAGGGAGTCGGAGACACTGAGCCAGGCGGCTTGCGGCCAGATCCTGCAGTCCCACAGCCCGGTGAGTGCAGGAGGGGTCGGGAGGGGCCGGCACCTTCTAAAGCCACCAATTCCTCCAGCTGCAGATGGGCCATGAGCGCCCGGCTGGTCTATGCCCTGGGGTGGGCCGAGGACCACGTGGGGTGCATTGTAGGTCAGCAGCCTGCAACTCTCAGCCCAGGCAGCTCCAGAGCATTGCCTCTGGGGAGAGACTGTGGGGAACTGGTGACTCTTCTGGTCAATGGCAGGGACCACATTTTAGTGACATTAGTGTTCTCTCAAACAACAGAAGTTCATGTTTGAATGAAGATGCAGTAAGGGGGAACAAAGTGCATATTTCAATTAAGGGCATCCTGAATGTCTCCGTATATTGGATTGTTTATCTTTGTAATTCTAAATTGTCATTACGCCTGCAGGCTGCACTCTTTCAGGGTGAAGAAGGGGATCCATAACATGAGAGCTATGGTAATCACTGTTTTGAGGACTAATTTGAGGTCCTTTGTGCCTGGACTTCAGAATTTTATGTGTCACTTATTACTGTGATAATTGCATGCAGGGGGAGGCCCTCCCAGGTGTGGAGTAGCTCGTGGGGGCAGGCAGGTGCTCGAGTGTCGTGAACGGACCAGCTGCCAGTTGAGCCTCGGCAGCTCTATTCTGCTTCCGAAGACTATCATTTAAGTGTGATTAGCACTGAGTGCCCTTCCGCGCCCTCTGTTGTGGGTTACATTGTTGATCATTGTGCCCTGCTGTGAAGTGGGTGTTGTCAGCACGCTCACTCCTCAGGGAAAGAGAGATGAAGACCGCCTGGCTGGTGAGTGACAGGAGCCAGAGTCTCTCCCTGACTTGGTGCACTGTCACCTTGGTGGATGGACTGTCCCAGCTGAGTTCATCAAGATGGGAGTCCCATAAATTCTTTAAAAGGTGGCAAATCACAGTTGACTCTGAAGAGTCCAAGACTGTTTTCTGGCCACATGGTGAACGCTGCGTGGTGACAGGTGTCTTAAGGACAGAGCTTCAGTAGGGTCTCTGGGTGTTCCAGCACTGAGCTTCCAGTGCTGCCCCCGTAAAGCTCAAGCACAGGAGGATGTCCTTCGGGACTGGCTGCGGGTGTCCCCGTCAGAGCTGCAGGGAGCCTTGAGAGCAGATGGGGAGCCAGCACTGCCCTGACACCACCGACACCTGGAACCCAGGCTGGGATGAGCCCCGGGCAGGAGGCTGTGGGATGTGTCCGTGGGGCAGGACACCCAGACAGGCTGGGGGCCAGAGGCCCTGCCTTCCCGCCTGCTGCATGTGCGGGGGCAGCTGCCCTATGAGATTTAAGGAAAGGCCTCAGCAGAGCGGAGACGAGAAGGGACCAGACGTGTACAGCCCTTCAGCCAGGACACCCCAGGTGACGAAGGAGCCAGCAGGACTCCCTGGTCTCCAGTCCTGGTGCAGAGCAGGGTGTCTGCAGAGGACACATCGGGATTTCTAAAGCCTGAGTGCAGCCAGAGGTGAGCTCTCTGTGGGCAAGAAGTCACTGGACAGTGAGAAGCCAGGGGAGATGACCTGTGTGAGCAGGCCAGGGCCTTCAAAGACATTTGGGACCCAAAGCGTCAGCAGAATGTCGTGATTTGTGAGTTTACTGAAAAAATAAAGGTCCTACAAAAATGATGTCGAAACGTTGTTCACCTGGAGCATTAGTGGTTCTAGACTTGTGTGAACTTAATAAAAGAAAATAAGAAGAAGGAAGAGTGGAAGAATAGGGAGAAGTCAGGTTAAGGTGAGAATCTCGGCCCACACGCTTCAGTATGATTGGTGATCAGAGGGCACGCAGAGGAGCATCCGAGAAGCCGCCCTGAGTGCACCCAGGGTTCACAGCAAACAGGAAACCAAAATGTGTCCTTGGCACACACCGGAGCAGTGACAAGTAATCACCACGTGTCACTCTGGCTACCTTTCAACAAAGGGCAATCAGCCTCAAAACAGCTAAAAAAGATGAATGCTAAAGAGTCCATACTTTGCGACTTCAGAACATACCTCTGAATAATTCCTAGGTCAAAGAAATAATGGAAATTATTTTAAAAAAACATAGAGCAGAAAAATAATGTACCTATGACATATCACAATGTGGAATTCAGCTAAAGCAGGTTTTGGAGGGAACTTTATACCCTAAGCTACATTAGGAAAGAAAGGCCCACAGCTGACCATGTAGGAAGCTGGGGTGGGGGAACTGGGGTAATTGGCCTGTGGAAAAGCAGAGGAAGGAACACAGCGTAAATAAAAATGAAAACAGAACTGCCACAAAATAAAAATAAAAACAGAACTGCCACAGGGAAGTGGAAAGTTTAATTTTGGGGGGAAAAAAACTTATAAAATATGGGCTGGGGATGTGGCTCAAGCGGTAGCGCGCTCGCCTGGCATGCGTGCGGTCCGGGTTCGATCCTCAGCACCACATACCAACAAAGATGTTGTGTCTGCCGAGAACTAAAAAATAAATATTTTTAAAAAATTCTCTATCTCTCACTCTCTCTTAAAAAAAAAAAACTTATAAAATATACAAATGTCTGGTAAGACTTGCCATGACAAAAAGAGGTGAGGGACAAGTAAATAATGCCAGAGTTTAGAAAGAAGCTGTAGATGCAGCAGTTTTTAAAAATAGGAGAATACCGTGCACAGCTTTATGTTGAAGAATCTGAAAACTGAACTGAAAGGAGAAAATTTCTAGAAAAGTCTGAAAGGTTGACTCAAGATGGAAAAAACATGTACATTCCTAATGCCATGAAAGAAAGTGGTGCATAGGTTCAGCATCCTCCCTGTTCACAGAAAACACCCAACCGAGACAGTTCTGTAGGCGGACTCCACCAAACCTTAAGGTCTTCCGCTGGCCTCAGGTGCACATTATTCCTGAGATCAGGAAGATGGAATTCCTCAGCTCATTTTATGCTGCTCAGCGAACCTTGATACTGAAACCAGACACGAGCAGTCTCAGAAGGAACAATGGCAGTTGTGACTGTAGTCACCAGATGTGAACATGACCCGTCCATCTATGAGAAGAAGTCAATCAATACATTGTGGCCAGGCTGAGTTTCCCCCAGGAGTATACGGTTGGTCTCTCAGGAGAAACTAGAACACCATTTTGAAAATCCACCTAACGGCTAACGGGGGAAACAACCCAGATGCTCATTTCCACATATACACCCACTCGAGGTGGACTCCTGGTAACGGGAGGAGGCCTGGCCCAGCACTTACCCAAACACACAGCACGGGATGCACTCGGAGTGGTTGGCACGGAGGGAGCCCTGTCCTGGATTCCAGATGGAGGGAATGAAGCCTTCCCAGGGAAGGACAGTTCAAGGTCAGGGAGTCGGGGGCAGAGCGAGACACTAGGACCCCTGGCTCTCAGTTCAGTTACCTGCTGCCTCTACCTGCACGGGAAACACCTCAGTGCGGCCTGGAAGCCCCTCATGGTGCCGAGATCACCTGTGTCCACTGGTAACTGAGACCACAACACCCTGTCCATCTTGAGACTTTGAGTAGGACAGAGCTTTCTACTGCTGGTCTGTTGGGAAGAGGCCGTGGGTCCTGAGTGGAGATGACGTGGTATCCTCAAGGCCAAGGTGATGGGTGACCGCTGTTTCATTCAGTCTGCAGTTGGCAGGAGATGGCCATTGTGCTCCAGATGTTGGACTTCCATTCTGTCTTTGATCATCTGCATCGACCGCTCTCCTGTTGGAAATGGGCTTTTAAGCTCTTAAACACTCAGGAGGATTAAAAAAGTATGCAATGAAGTGCCGTGGGAGAAAGGACTCCTGCGAGGGTGACGGTGAGTGCACTCATTGAGGAAGGGTTCAGACTCCTTTTGTGATATTGGAACATATGCAAAGTGTAATTGGATCGGGACAAAATGGTGATGATGGGCAGATTTAAACAGGAGGGACTTCCGGGGAGCAGATCTGTGACCCCAGACTAACTGTACGCACTGTATCTGCATTCGGTTTGAACTGAGCACGCACCTCCAGGCCCATGGGCACCTCCCTTCCCTCCTCCCTCCTCCTCCCTCCGCCTGGTTCTCCTGTGCCAGGACTCGCCCTCTGCTGATTCTGCCTGAGTTCTTGCACTTGGTCTTCTGTGGTCTGGCTTCATGGCTCCCAGCCATCTGGGCTTCAAAGGCAGAGAGCGTCACTATTGGCTGCACCTGCCAAGCTCTGCATGAGGCCCAGGCACTGACTGTGCTTTTGCCCCTTCCTTCCCTCCACTGGTGGCATTTCTAGTCCCATTCTTCTGGGGAAGAGGCTGAGCTTAGGGAGGGATGGTCATTTCACCAAGGCCCACAGCAGCAAAGCAGCCTCCTGTCCTAAGATCATGCCTCTGGCCCCCTCTCTATTCTAGTCTCCTCTCCACACTGTGGCCAAAGGGATGTTTATGAAAAATAAAATGATCATGCACAGCCCACCCGCCAGGTCCACATTTAAACTTTTACCTCCTAGCTGGGAGCAGTGGCCCCTGCCTATGATCCCATGGCTTGGGAGGCTGAGGCAGGAGGATGGCAAGTTCAAAGCCAGTTCAGCAACTTATCGAGGCCCTAAGCAGCTCAACCGAGACCCTGTCTCTAAATGAAATACCCAAAGAGGCTTGGGATGTGGCTCAGTGGTTAAGTGCCCCTGAGTTCAATCCCTGGTACAAAAACAAAACACTGACCTTCTACCATTCCTCCCTCAGACCCCGGGCTTCGGGCCCTAGACCTTTCTGCTGCTCTGAGCCCTGAGATACATTCAAGCATCTGTTCCTTAGAGGGACCTCTACCTAGAAGACTTCTGCCTCACCTCCTTGCAAACTCCTGTCTACATTCTAAGACAAGCCCAGGGATCTCCTCCATCAAGCCACCCAGGATGCCCTCCGGTGGCACCATCTGTCCCCGCTCTGTGCTCCCAGAGCCTCATTCGAATCTGTGATCACCGAGGATGGTGTTCTGTCTCTGTCTCTGCATACGGGCTGCCCCCTCCCCACACTGAGTCTTCAGGATCCAGAGACATGCCCCACTCACTCTGAATCCCAACAAATACCCAGCAAAAAGGAACTCTATCCTCTGTCCAGCCATCCATCTGTCGGTCTGTCTGTCTATCCATTCTCTACCTAATCTGTTTCTACCATCTTTCTATCCTCCATCTATCGTCCATCCATCTTTCTGTCCCTGTCTACCTATCATCCCTCCTTCCACCACTCATCGGTGTCACCAGCTGTCACTCTGTTCATGCACCAGGCAGGTACCTGGTGGTGCTCTCTGAGGCCGCTGAACTGAGAGATGGGACCAGAGACCAGAGGAACCTCAGTTCTCTCCAGCTGTGTTTTTGCCCAACACTGTGACTTCAGGAGTTTCACTTACACTCTGTGTGCCTCAGTCACCTTGTCTATAAAAAGGGATAATGGTAAATCCAATTTTGTGTCATTTTATGAAGATTAAATAAATTGTATAAATGCTCTGGCCCAGTGTAGACATTCAGGAAATGTTAACTGCCATTATTATTATTATTATTATTATTATTATTATTATTATTATTATTATTATTAACTTTTTCCATGAGCTGGGCCCTGTTCTCACTGCTGGGGAGAAAGACAGGTCACCACAGCCCAGGATTCATGGTCCTTGTATTTAAAGCAGAGCAAGCTCTAAAGAAGGTAGGCCCAGGCGGAGCTTGGAACCCAGCAGGCAGGTGCGGAGGGGGAGCAGGCTTGGGCACAGGCCTGAAGCCCTGGAGAAGGTCCCATGAGAGAAGGCTGAGCTGCAGGCCATGTCCACCTGCCTTCCATTCCTGACCCGGATTTTCAAGCTCCTTAGAAAAGATGGCCTCTGTGCTCCACCACTTCTCGGGTGACCCCGACAGGCTCGGGTTGGAGTCTCCCATCCCACACTGTTCCCAGCAGAGGTCTGGCCTCTGACAGGCTGCTGGCCATGCTCTCAGCTCAACAGGACACTGTGGGAAACCACGTAGGGCTACGTCTTCCCCCTCAGGGTGCTGCGTGGTCAGTGGTCAGGATGGCGGACCCCAGTGGGTGGGGTGCCGCTCTGCAGCTCTCAGAGGTTCCCAGGCCCTGGATCGAGCTGGAGTGCGTGGCCAGGCGGTCAGTCTCTCCACGCTGTGTCCTCAGGGCTCCTCTCGGCCATTTGTCCCACTGTCTTGGTTCTCGGGTTGTATTTCTGAGCCTTGGGGACTGTGGGACTCTGGAGAATTTGATACAAACTTTGTTCCCTCCGCAGACATCAGAGTACTTTGTACATATTTAGGAGGATCAGGGGCCACTGTCCTCCACCTCAGCTTCCCCCGCATGCACCTTGAAGGCCTGGGGGCCTCCGACCTACCCCGTGGCCTCCTTGGCAGACTCCTCTGCTGAGATTTTCTGCTGACTTGGGAAGGCAGGTGCCCTGTGACGGTGTCAGGCAGCGTGGCCCAGTGAGAGCCCAAGCCTGGAGTCCGCTGGCCTGGGCTCGGATCCCGACTCTGCCTCTCAGTGAGTGCGTCACCTGGAACATCACCGCCACTCTGCCCCGATTTCCTCATCCATAAACTCAGAGAAGGGGGCGTGTGGTCTAGGGTCGCTGAAGGACAGAGATCTTCCCACAGATGCCCCCCGACCTCCAGGGTTAGTTCACGATAAACTGAGAATAAGACTCAAGTTCACTTGCAGCCCTGGCCTGCCCGGCAGCTCAGCACACACTGGAGCGCTGCTGTCCATCCTGGCACCTGGGGCTGGCTGGGGACCGTGCCGCCACCACGGTCCACTACGGCAAGAAAACATTGTACTGCGTGTCACCCGCCTGGGACACCATCCAAATTCCAGAGTTAGCGTCCGTCTTCCCTGCGTGTGTTCTGCCTGCACACCATGGCGAAGGCGGAAGTCGAAACGGAGCCTCCTAAGTTGGTGCCATTGGGGACCAGCAGCCCTTTGGTGTGCCGCTGTGCCATAGGCACTGTTGATAGGGACCGTGGTGCTGCGTCCCGTGGCTTCTTCAGTGGCAGATGCTGGCAGGAACTCTGCAGTGATCCAGGGACAGGTGGCAGCTGCCCGGCACGGTGCAGATGGGCAGCAGGAGGCTCCCCCTGCCCTCAGGGAGCCCACGCTGTAGCCAAAGGGTGCATGACAGTGATGCAGGTGGCTACAAAAAAGGGCATGTGGAGGGTGTCAGTGGGATGTGAGGAGGGACATCCCTGTCCCCCAGGGACTAGGGAGCCTGCCACCCAGGAGGTATGGTCGGTCGGCAGTCGGGAAGTCCCTGTAGAGGAAGGAGCACCACGTGCTGTTGGGTGGAGCTGTGACGGTGGTAGGCACATCCTACAGCTGGTCTCGCTACCAGGGGAACCAGGCAAGATGGGCCCAGCAGGCTTCCAGCGCGTGCCGGGAGGTCAGACTTTGTCCTTGCTCCATTTACATTTGTAGTGGGACTCACCACCTGTCCCCTCTGTGTGCAGGAGCTCCAGGAGCTGGAGAGGAGGCTGGAGGACCAACTGGCCCAGCAGGAGGCAGCCCAGCAGCAGCAGGCCCTGGCCAGCTGGCAGCACTGGGTGGCTGGGGGGCCTGGGCTCCTGAGCGAGCCTGGGGAGGAGGACTCTGAAAGGCCCGTCTCCGCCGTCCTGCAGCAGGCCCTGGGCAAGGGCCAGAAGTTACTGGATCTCCACCAGCAGAGGTACAGCCCATGGCCCATAGTCCCGGGGGTGATGTCCCCTGCAGGCCTAGGGAACCTGCCTCTCACCCTCCCGCCTATGGTGCCAGCCAGCACGTGGCACGAGCCACCCAGCTGGGCAGGAATCGGCTTCCTTGTTCCCTGATGTCCTTCTAAGATACTTTATTTTCATATCACTGAGGTTTACTAATATTTTAGACTTTTTAAATGATCACAGACTTACAAGAAGTTGGAAAAATAATAGAGAGAGGTCTTGTTCCTCTTCACCGGCTTCTCCATCATCTTAGTGCAGGACCGAGCCGTGGGCCGACGTCAGCAGAACTCAGGCCTCATTCAGATCTCACTGTAAACATGGCGCTTTATCAAGACTGCAAAGCCGAGCTCCCGTCGTCTTTCTCTGTTCTTTGAATTATTTTTCAACTAACACTGGACAGTTAGCTTGGCCTGTGGTATCGGGGACTCTTAGAAAAACATGGTTCATAGTTCTGGCGCTTCCGCTGTGAACGTGGTGTTGGTGTGGAGGGAACGTGAGGCCATCTGGGCTGGGCAGTGTGATGGGCCCTGAAAACAGACTCGAGTTAGTCGGAAGGAGACAGACTGGAGTTCAATGGGCATGATTTCCGGGTGGTGAGATGCTGTGTAAACAGAGCACGGCTCGGGCTCTGAGGTGACCGTGAAGGGCTGAGCGGGTGCCGAGGAGCTTCGTGGAGGCGTGGGTAGGTGGGCTGGGCGTTGGGGGGTGCAGTGCTCACGTGCTCCCTGGAGGCGTTGAGCTGCACCTGAGGACACACTGGGTGTGGCCACTAGAAGGACTGTGGGCAGGCCATGTGGCCAGCAGAGCTGCTCCCGTGGAGGACAGGAGGCTCCTGCGAAGGGAAGCCAGCTGGTCCTGCGGTCAGGGCCAGACCCTCCCTGGACAGTGGCTCTGGGTCTGTTCAGCACAGGGCACATGGACTAGGTCTTGGTCTTCTTGGTGCAGGCCTTGAGGACCGCTGCCAGCCTTCAGAGAGAGTCACAGAGCTCTGTCAAAGTCAGACCTTTCCTTCAGGGGCCCACAGAACCTCCCTCGAGCCACCCTCTCCTGGCCACCGTCCTTGGAAGTGGCCTAGGCAACAAGAGGCACAGGCCTCCCACCATCTCTTCATGTATCTGTGTACGTGTGCGTGTGTGTGTGCGTGTGTGTGTGTGCGCATACATATGTCCATATACTTCTTTTTCCCGCGGCGGTGTGGCTTTGATCCCTCTTCCTTACTTGGAGCCTGGATGGCCTCATGGTGTCCCTTCTTTTCACAATGGCCTCACTGGGCCCTGTTTTCCCTCTAGTTGGAGACAAGAGCAGCAGGACAGCGCTGTGCTGGAGGATCTGCTGGAGAACATGGAGACGGACACCTTCATGACCCTGTGTGGCCAGGTGAGGAGACACCACCCCAGACTGCCTCTGTCCCTGCCTCTGTCCCCTGCACACACCTCTTCCTCTTCCTCAGAGCTGCCTGTCCTCAGCCATTGAGTGGGCTGAGGAAGCTGGCCCAGGAAATTCAGAGCAGGTCATGAGTGGTCCCAGCACAGGTGGCAGGCAGGGGACACTCGGGCAGGTTCCATGTCCCCACATTCAGCCAACTGTGGATCCAAAATAAGTTGCATTGCTGTGGACAGGTGCTGTGCAGCTGGTCGGGCAGGGCCGTGTCTCTACCAAACACTGAGGGCCTCTCCTACCCACCATTCCCCAGCCAATGCTGTGTCCGGTGGGTCACCATGGTGTCCCGTGTCTTGGGTGATGATGGGAAGGTATGAGAGGCCGTGTGCAGAGTATCTGCAAATGTGATGCTTTTTTATTTCATTTTATTTTTAAATATTCATTTTTAAGTTGTAGGTGGACACATATCTTTATTTATTTTTATGTGGTACTGAGGATGGAACCCAGTGCCTCACGCATGGTGGGTGAGTGCTCTACCTCTGAGCCACGCCCCATCCCTGATGCTGTTTTATATAAAAGGACACATCTGGATCCCCTGACCACCCCCCAGGAAAGCCGGGCTGAGCCCGAGGGGTACAAACTCCAAATGGACTTCCCCGGGTCCTTCTGCCTCTGCAGGCCTCCCCTGCTTCCTAGTGCACATGAATGACCGCCTCCTAGAGGGACATGTGGCTGGTAGCCCTGGGCTCCTGGCCCTTCGATGCCCTCCCCACCCAGCCTTGCTGTGTGGCAGTCTTAGGCCTCGCTGAAGTCCCAGGGGATGTGCCTGCCCTGACCAGAAGTGCTGTGCCTGTGTGATACAGGACAGTGGGACAAGCTCTAGCTCCATTTGTCCTCACCGAACCCTGTGCCACAGTGTCGTCATAATCCCCATTTTACAGATGAGGAGGCAGAGGCAGAGAGAGACAAAAACCGGCCCAACGCCTCTCTGTTCTGCTCAGTGCTGCTGGGCGCCAGGGAGCTTTCTGGAACACCAGGTCTGTGCTGGTTTCTCCACAAAGATTCTGTTCTGAAATCCTGCGGATGCACAGGAGGTCGCGGAGCCAGCGTGGGGCGTTCCAGCGTCCACCGGGCTTCGTGTCTCCCGCTGCTGTTGCCCAGAGCACGTCACAGTCAGGAGCTGACATCGGTGTCAGCACGTGCACCGTTCTGTGTCACCTGAGCACAGAGGGCCCACCCGTCGGGATGCAGGACTGTCCTCCCGGCAGAGCCCTCCCAGTGCTGCCCCCTGCTGCCCACCCTGGCCCCAGCTCTGAGTTTTGTCCAGGCCGCAGACCTGTGTGCCTGGAGTCAAGCAGCCTTAGACTCGAGGCCCTTCCAGCTCTTTTATTTATTGCAGAACAGTGTTCTATGGTAAGGACGCAGCACAGTGTCTCTGGGACACTCTCTGTCCCCTGGTTTAGGGACACTTTAGTTGTTTCTGGAGCCTGAATGGTCCTCAGGGCCGTGTGGCCTCACAGAAGTGGAACAGGAGGAGAAAGGTGAGCAGTGTCCCTGCTGTAGGCCAGGGCCTTTGCTGTGTGATTCGGGCGCTGCCGACAGAGCCGAGAACAGTCACAGGGAGGGACGCAGCCTCAGGAATGCCGTGGTGCCACAGGTGCTCACCAAATGGATTCTTTTGACAGCTCTGTGAATTTAGAAGCTGTTTTCCAGACTAACTACTAAAATATTTATTCCCCTTAGACAAAAAGCCCTAAGAATGCAATAAATTTAAAATTGACGCATGTCAAGTCTAGAGGTGGCGCGGGCTGAGCTCCCCTTCCCCTGCCTGCCCTAGGAGCTGAGGCTGGCGTCGTACCTCTGCAAGATGGCGATGGTGCCCGGGGCCACGCTGTGCCGCCTCCTGAGTGTGCTGCTGCCCGCGGGCTCCCAGCCCCAGCTGCTGGCCCTGCTGGATTCGGTCAGTGAGAAGCACTCGGACCGCGCGGCAGACCACGAGGGCAGGGAGCAGGCCGACCCTGGCAGGAGGAGGTGAGTGCCCTGTGGTGACCGCCTCTGGAAACCAGAGAGAGGGTGACCCGTAATGGGCCTGGGGCAGGGGATCAGACCTACCACCTGGAAAAAATGTCCGTCAGGCTCACTGTCCGTCGGTCACATTTCTCCCTCCACAGGCTTTCTGAGTGCACGTGCGTGTGTTGAGTGTGGTTGAGGTGTGTGCTGACCATGAGGTCGTGACTCTCGTCCCCATAAACCCATCCTTGGTGGAAAATGTGTGGGTGGGAAGCGTGTTTGACACCCCTCGGGCAGAACACCCCACTGCAGCACGGCCCGGGACAGTGGGGAGGCCCTCGTGGCCTTGCGGTGCCTGGGAGCTGCTGCTGCCCAGCATACAAGAGAGGCCTGGGCCACAGAGGGGCCGCCTGGGGAAAGACCCCGACTCGAAGCTCCAAGGGCTGTTTCCACTGAACCCGTTGCTCCGGCCCCGCCCCAGGCGAGACTGTGGCGTGGAGCTGCCCTGCTGGCCCACACCTGCGTGTGGGTGTCGGGCGCCTGCGGTGCTGACGCTGTGCCCACAGGCCTGAGCTGGGGGCAGCTCTCCATGCTCCTGGGCGATTCTTGTCCCAGTAGCTGAGCTGCGTTTCCTGACAGGCGTAGCCTAGGTCGGTGGCTGTCCCCGTCTTCACTGGGGCCACTTTTCCTCAGCTGTTACAACCCTGCAGATATTTTCTTTTAGGTTCTGAGTCGAGGGTGAATTGGGTCCACAGAGGGAAGGCAGGAAGCGGGGCTGGGGTGGGTCTGGGGGCAGCCCGCAGTGTCACTTGGGAAGGGAAACGTGGACTAGGTTGGCAAGGATAGGGCCCCAGCTGCCAGAGCCCGCCTCATCCAGGACCTGTAGGAGGCTGTGGCTGGACGGCGGGGGCCTGGGGGTCCTGGAATGGCGATGGTGGGCACACACGTGGACACTGCTTTCCTGACATGGGGCTGTCTGGTCAGAGCTGAGGAGGGGTCTGACTCCGGAGGTTGCCAGCACTGCTGAGGACACGTGGGCAGAGCTGGGGGAGGGGGGAGGGAGGGTGTGAGGCCAGCCGTGAGGAAGAGCGGTCCTTGTGTCCTGCGGTCCAGCAAGTCCAGAGGGCCTGCGGGCCTGGGACAGCAGGAGGACTCGGGTGGCAAGTGCCTGCACTTTGCCTACCCTCCTAGCCGAGGGGAGTAGAGGATTCTCCCGACCCAGGCCACCCAGAGTCCCTGAGGGCGGGCAGGCCCTCTTCCTGGTCCCCCGCCCGGGGCCTGGCAGCCCCTCCCCGAGGCCTTGGCTTTCAAGCCGTGGAAGCTGACTGGCTGCACAGGAGCCAGTGGCTGAGGGACCTGTAGGTGTGGGGAGAGCTGTGTCCAGCCCCGGAGGGACAGGCCCAGGAAGCACCGCGGGCAGCTGCTGTGGGGTGCTGTCGTCAGAGACACGTCTCCTGGCAAGGAGAGCCCCTGGCCCACTGTGGGGAGGGACGAGCTGCGCCCACCTCCAGGTGGGCGGGTGGGAGCACGGCGCAGAGGAAAGTGCCCCTGGGCTGGACTCTCTGGCCCATGCTGTCCTCTGCCGACTGGGGCCCAGGCCCACGAGCTCTCTTCTCAGTCTCCCTGACAGTGTGACAAGGTCCCTCGCCTTTGGTCTGGAGTCACACACGTCCATGGTCTGAGGACACCCTGCCCGCCACCCTCCCGGCTTCCACGTGCTTCTCTGTGTTGCACGCGCATGTTCAGGACACGCTGACCCGGCTCCGGGTGCGTCCACTGTCTCAGGCAGAAGGACCAAGAGACGGAACCCCGCCCACACCCGCCATGCCTCCCCGGCCAAGGCGGGCCCCACAAGCCACACAGCCCTTCATGAACGCCTCCCTTGCTCCCTGAGCTCAGATGTCCCCAGCTCTGTGTTGCCTTCTTCCACTGATGTCCCCTGTTGCTGTGATCCCCCGGACTGGGAGCCCTTCGAGGGCAGAGATTCCTCCTTGACCAGGCCAAGAGCCTGCTTGATGGGTGTGTCCTGAGCAAGGGAAAGGAGGCGTGGAGACCAGGGGTCCTGTGTTGGCGGAGGTCACACGGGGGGACGGAGGCCAGCAGAGGTCACCAGGGGTGGAGTTGAAGGCTGTCCTTTTTAACCCGAGCCTCTCTCTGCTGTTAGGAAACACCAGGCCTGGTGGCAAGCCCTGGAGAGGGAGCTGCGAGGCGATCTGACGGCCAGGGGCCTGGAGAAGGTGCGCTGGGCCCGACAGAGGAAGGCGAGGTAGGCGCTGGCGCAGGTGCAGGAGGGCCGTCCATGCTGCCCGAGAGCGTGGGGAGGTGCCCGGTGACGGGGCAGGGTCCTCCCTGAAGGCCACACATCTTTATTCCCTGGGCTTAGTTTAGAAGCTGAAGATAAGCTGCAGCTATCAGGAGGAGAATGTTATAACATTATTATTAGCATTTTAATTTCTGTATCTATTTTAGCTAATAGCTATTTTAAGGGCTATAATTAGAAAAGGAATGATTCCTTGTAGCTGTTCAGACATTATTATTCCCAAAGCCCTTTCGCTTCTCATTGCATTGAACCTTCCGGAAAATGAAGATGATAGACCTGAAGTCCAGGGACCCCAAGACCCAGTACCTGGTGGCTCTGGGACGTGGACCCTAACAGTCCCTGTGTTTGCCTAACACTCCAGGCCTGTGCGTGCTCTGTGTGCCCAAGGCCTGCATCTCTGGCCTGTGGTTTTTGCACACCTGGAGATCAGAGGGACGGAGGGGCACAGTGGGTTAGATGTAACCACCTGTTGACCAAGTGTCTCCTGGATTCCAGCTAGGAGGGATTTAGGGAAGTCCACATCAGGTGAGCTCATCAGGGCTTAAAAAGTGGCAGGCGCCCTGTCCTCGGGGAGCAGTGACTGTCCAGGGGGAGGGTCTGCCGAGCCCCCTGCCTCCATCGTTCCAGAGCTCAGGTGGAGGTGCTGAGCCCGTCACTGATCGTCCATGGTGACAGCTTGGGGCTGTCTGTGATGGGGGTACCAGAAAGTCGTCCCAAAGAAATCAGGTCGGGAGGTTGGTCAGGAGAAGCCACTAAGTCCAGATTAAAGCTGTGTGACCAGCATGTTCCCCTGGGAGCGCTCCTGGGCTGCACTGACCCGGGTGTCGCAGATGACATGAGGGTGATGGTCACAGCACCTGGCGAACTGTGGTAGCCTTGGCCCTGCCCAGAGGCACCAGGATCTACGGTGAGAAGGGACGCAGGATATGAGCCAGAGCCACCTGGGAGTCCTCGCTCAGGCCCATACAAGCTGCAAGGCTGGGGACAGATGGTCCAGCACCCCACTGGCCAGTGATGTCCCCTGCAAACCCAGGCTGCGGCCTTGTCCTGCACTGCTTGGGCAGAGAGCGCCAGTGGTTCTCAGGCCCCACGGGCTCTCAGCAGTAGCCACAGCACTCTCAAGAGCAGCTGGGGACTTGGGGGGTGGCTCAGGGGCAGATTGCAGCAGTCCTGTCCCAGGACCCTCCCTAAGGTGCTACCCTCTGCTGACGTCTGCCCGGCCTGGAACTTTTGCTTAGTACCCAGTTTCCTCAGCTGGTTTACAGTGAGGCCCAGGGTCTCCTTGTAAATGTCTGAGAATCGGCCGGGGGTGGGGTGCAGTGGAGCCTTCCGGGGGCCCTGCCGATCTCCATGGTGTGAACTCCCCGCCAGGCTGAGCCCCAGCTGACAATGTCATGACAAGGACCCCACAAGACTCCTGAGAACTTGAGTCACAGGCCAGTACGGTTGGAGTGCTGCCACAGGCCTCCACTGACTTCAGGGGCACTCTGGTGCCCACAGGTGGGAAGGGTCTTTCAATGGCACGTGGCTGAGAGTCTCCTGAAGAACTCAGAACGCTCAGGAAGGTCAGAGTGAGTCCCACCTGTCAGCTCAACCTCCTGTTCTCTCCTTAGCATATTAAAGAAGACGCATGTCCCCATCAGGGAGAGGATGGCGCTCTGCGGAGAAGGCTGGCCGCACCTGTCCCTGGAGCCCGTTGGCGAACCGGCCCCTGTCCCCATCCTAGGTGCGGAAGCCCTCGACGTGTTAAACACAGGCGA